TTCCATGTCCAGTTCCAACTGTTGCTTCCTGACCTGCATATAGGTTTCTCAATAGGCAGGTCAGTTCGTCTGGTATTCCCATCTCTTTCAGAATTTTCCATAGTTTATTGTGATCCATGTAGTCAAAGGCTTTGGCATAGTCAGTGAAGCAGAAGTAGATGTTTTTCTGAAACTCTCTTGGTTTTTCGATGATCTAGTGGATGTTGGCAATTTGATCTCTGGTTTCTCTGCCTTTTCTAAAACCAGGTTGAACATCTGGAAGTTCACGGTTCACATATTGCTGAAGCCTGGCTTGGAGAATTTTAAGCATCACTTTACTAGCATGTGAGATGAGTGCAGTTGTGAGGTAGTTTGAGCATTCAGAAATGCAAATCAAAACTACCATGAGGTATCACCTCACATGGTCACAATGGCCATCATCAAAAATATCTACAAACAATAAGTGCTGAGAGAGAGTGTGGAGCAAAAGGAGCCCTCCTATGCTGTTGGTGGGAATGTATATTGGTGCAGCCATTATGGGAAACGTATGGAATTTCCTTAAACTAAAAAAAGTTGCAATGTGACCCAGCAATCCTGTTCCTGTCCAGGGAAAGCTATAATTTGAGAAGATACATGCAATCCATGTTCATAGCAGCACTATTCACAGTAGCCAAGACATGGGAGCAACCTAAGTGTCCATCGACAGAGGAATGGATAAAGAAGATGTGGAACACGTATACAGTGGAAAATTACTCAGCCAGGAAAAATAATGAAACAATGCCATTTGCAGTAATATCAATGGACTGAGAAATTATCATAGCCAGTGAAGTAAGTCAGAGAAAGACAAACATCATATGATAATCACTTATATGTGGAATCTAAAAAATGATACAAATGAACTTATTTACAAACAAACAGACTCATAGACTTTGAAAACCAACATGGTTTCCAAAGGGGAAAGTTAAAGGGGAGGGATAAATTAGGAGTTTGGGATTAACATATACACACTGTTACATATAAAATAGATAACAAACAAGGCCTTGCTGTATAGCACAGGGAACTCTTTATTCTGTAATAACTTACATACACTGGAAAAGGATGGATACAGGTATATTCAGTCACTGAATCACGTTGCTCTGTGTTGTTCAGTTGCTAAGCCGCGTCTGACTCTCTGCAACCCACAGGCTGCAGCCTGCCAGGCTTCCCTGTTCTCTGCTATCTCCCGGAGTTTGCTCATGTCCATTGAGTTGGTGATGCTATGTTGCTATACCTGAAACTAATACAACATTGTAAATCAACTATAATATAAAATCAAAATTTAAAGAGAATAACTCTGAAAATCTGGCAAACCATGGATTGGAAGAAAATATTCATTTGTCTGACAACTCTAATGTGAAAATGAGTTTCTGTGGCTCAAGATAGAGGTGGCTCAAATGGTACAGAATCTGCCTGCAGTGTGGGAGACCTGGGTTTGATCCCTGGGTTGGGAAGATCCCTGGAGAAGGGAATGGCAACACTTTAGTATTCTTGTGTGGAGAATTCTGTGGACAGAAGAGCCGGTGAGCTACAGGCCATGGGGCCAAAAAGATTGGACATGACTGAGTGACTGATACACACACATATATATGACTTAAGAATGAAAAAACAATCTATTTTAAAAATTGGCAAAAACACTTAATGGACACTAAAGGAAGCTACATAATTGACCAATAAACACTGCAATAAGAAACTACACACTACACACCCACTAGGAAAGCAAAAATTTAACAGACCGCTGACAATATTTGTTACAATGTGCAAACAGAACTCTCATGCGTTACTGGTAGGAATATAAAATAATATCACTTCAAAAAAAGGTTTGGCAGTTTCATATAAAGTTAGACATTCATCTGTCCCTTGACTGTGTTGTCCTGAACTCGGGGTTTTATTTAAGAGAAATGAAAATAAATCCACAAAAAGACTTGTATAAGAATGTCTACAACATAATAAGTTAACTTATTTATAATACCTAAAACCTGGAAACAATGAAATGTCTGTCAACAGGAGAATGAGTAAACAAATTATGGTGTATTTTTACCTTGGAATACTTCTCAGCAATAAAAAGGAATCAATCACTGATATATACAATAAGCCAGATGAAGCTCAGACATTATGCTGATTAAAAGCATGAGAGAACAGAGTACATACTTCATGATTCCGTGTATATAGTATGGGTAAAAATAATCTGTGTTGGAAAAAAAATCAGAACAGTGGTTGCCTGGAGTGAGGGAGGGGACAAAGAATTGACTGGGATTAGAGAGAAGGAACTTTCTGGGCTGATGGAAGTGTTCTATATCTTCATTGTGATATGGGTTACACAGATGTATCCACTGTCAAAATTGTTCAGTTACTATTTAGACATCTAAACATATGTAACATTTACCTTAAAGAATAATTGAGGGCCTCCCTGCTGGTCCAGTGGTTAAGAATCCACTTTGCAATGCAGGGGACACCAGTTTGATCCCTAGTCTGGGACGATCCCACATGCCATGGAACATCTAACCCTAATGCCACAACTCTATCAAGCCCGTGCTCCAGGGCCTGCGAGCCTCACCTACCGAGCCCGCATGCCGCAGTTACTGAAGCCCGGGCGCCCTAGAGCCTGTGCTCCAAGACAAGCCACTGCCGTGAGAAACCTGCGCATTACAGCTGGAGGAAGTCCCCGCATAGCAAGAAAGACCCAGCACAGCCCAAAATAAAAATGAGTAAAACATAAATTCTTAGAAAAGCCCATGGACAGTGGGTGGAGGTATAGATTAAACAACATGGCAGAATGTTGGTAAGTGTCAAAACTGATTGAGATAGAGAATTCATTAAAATATACTTTGTAAATGAAATTTTCCACTATTTTTTTTTAAACTGGAGGAAATGAATTAAAGATTAATATGCACTGAATTCTAAGTACTATATTTTTTTCAAAAAGAAAGTGAGAACTGGTATAACTACACAGTCTTTGCTAGGCAGAAAACTGAGTGCTAAACAATTAGAAAATCATTGTTTTGTTCATTCCTGCCCTTGGGAGAGAGAAGGAAGGGCAGCCTGAAGAATGAAACAGGATAATCTTCGTCTGCAGCAACCAGACCACACTATTCAGCAATTTAACTTCCTCTTCTCAAGGGGACTGAGATATCCAGGCAAGATATTACCAAACCTAGTTATTTGTTAATTAAAATCACTTCAGAACAATATCCTGAGTGAATAATTAATTAAATGTTAATTTATGTTGCTGATAATATTGCACTTGAATTTTGGAACTTTCCCCCTGAATTTTAAATATTTGAGAAGCAAGAGCTAAGTATTCTCCTAATAACCTGCATTTTTTCCCCTCATATTTTCTGTTTTCTTTTCCCTGCTGATTTCTACTGCTAACTTTGACAATGCAAGTGGTAGAGTTCCCAAACAGAATGAATTTGGTTTTATAGAAATGAGCAAGTAGAGTATCTGGGATTTTATAAGGATGATATTTTTTCAACAGGTATTAAGGCTAAGTTGAGAAAAAAAAAAAAAGGGTGGCCCAGTGGGTAAGGATCTGCCTTGTGGTGCGGGGACGTGGGTTTGATCCCTGGTCGGAGAACTAAGATTCCACATGTTTTGGGGCGACTCCACCCGCGCACCACAGCCACTCAGCCGGCATGGCACGACAGAGGTCCTGAACGCCGCGCCCGAGACCGCAGGCGGCCAAGTAGGTAGCCCAGTGGAAGAAGTCAGCGCTGGTGACACCTGAGTGCGAGCTGGCAGCTCCTGACTGCGGTCTGCGTTTGTGTCGCCTCTCATCGAAGGTGGTACATAATGGGGAAAAAATCAAACTGGGTCTAGAAAACTCTACCATAATGCTTCCTTATCTGAGCACTAGTAAATCCCAGAGTTCCAGAGCAAAGGCCAAAGCTTTGTGCACGTCCCTTCCAAATCTGGATCGGCAGGGTCAAAGCCAGGCGTACCTGGAGGGGCCAGGCTGGTCCCTGGAGTGGCTAGTCATTGGTAGCAGGCCCTGAGGAGTTTGCGCCAAGAGGCGGGACTCAGGACTCACCAAGGGAAGCACAGCGCCCCTCCCCTCCACTTTCCCAAACCCAGCAGGAGGAGGAGAGTCAATCTGAGGGAAGAAATAGGTATTGCATTAATTCAGTAAATTC